CCTCATCTCAGTCCTCAGAGTGGATAATACATCTGGGGCTTTCTTTGTTTAAAATTTGTGATAGGTGTCCATGGACTGCATTATCCTCGTATCATCAGGTAGACGATTAGTTCGCTTGGTTACTTTTTTAACCGACTTAAAAAAGGAGGAGGTTGTCAATTCGAGTTTATGTTCTTTTTAGGGTTCCGTAGCCAAATGGCAAAAAAACGGAACCCTTATGGATTCGTCATGTCTGTCTGTCTGTCCGTCCGTATGTCACAGCCACTTTTTTCCGAAACTACAAGAACTATGCTGTTGAAACTTGGTAAGTAGATGTATTCTGTGAACCGCATTAAGATTTTCACACAAAAATAGAATAAAAAACAATAAATTTTGGGGGTTCCCCATACTTAGAACTGAAACTCAACATTTTTTTTCGTCAAACAACAACTAAATCTAACTACAACAAAATCAAGTGCGTTCAGTACTTAACTGAAGCTGTTATACCTTATTAATCCTTTTCGTTCTTGGTAGATGGATCAGTAATTGATTATTAAAAACATAAGAATAGGTTCATGAGGTACCGGGTTTGAATCCCAAGTCGAGCTAAAATAGGTAATTGGATTTTCGTGTCAATACATTTTCATGTCACAGCAGCCCTTAGTCAGGAAGTTGGCGGTGTTTCAACGCCGTACCTCGGAACGCACGTAAAACTATTGGTCCAGTACCAAATCTCTCTCCGGTCGTACCGCATTGCCGTCCCATCGCACTATGAGACTAAGAACGTAGGGAGAACATAGGATAAACCTGTCCTATGCAGATGGTTAGTCTCCATTTGGACTGGCCGCCGCCGTGACCGAAACTCGATTTGGAGCACATTATATAAGAGTAAACTTAACTTGTTGACTGCCTTGTCAGTCTTATGGCCGTAAGCGCGACTGCTGACAATTTGTTCCAGGGTTCTAATACCAGGTTTTGCCAAAAATAAGTTTTTTTTAATATAAGATAGGGTGACAAACGAGCACACAGTCCACCTGATGGTAAGTGGTTGCTGCGGCCCATAGACATCTACATCTATCCTCATTATAAATCAAAATGCAGATGCGTTGTCACCTTTGAGGACTAAGATGGAATGCCTCGTTTCAAGTAAAAAGGGTCTCCGGTTTTCTACACTCACCATACGAAACACAGCAGCATTAAGGTACTATTTTACGCTGGTATTCTGTGAGAGCGTGGTACTTCTCCGATCGAACCGACCCATTCGTGCTACAACTATACTACTAATATAACTGCAGCATGACTCTACCACGTATAAAATTAATTAGTTGTACTGTCAAGAAATGCTCAGTAGTGGTCCAAAGTCAGGAAGTTGGCGGTGATTAACCCCCGTGCCCCCAAAACTCGTCAAGGCGTTGGTCCTGCGCCTGATATCTCTCCGTCCGTGACGAATTGCCGTTTCAATCGGACTGTGATGGTTTTATGAAAGGCGTTAAGTAATATTTTGCCATTTCTGTCAATGAATTTTTCATGTTCCACTGTTCGATACTATATCTAAAGACACCAATAGACAAACGATGATATATATATCAGGACGGCGACTGCCCGATCTGTTACCAAATTTCACAGTTATGTGTGACGGCTTTAAGAGGTAGTAGTTCCGACAGTGACCCAAAAACATTGACGTGACATTTGGAATACCTAAGTATTGTGTGTTGATTGTTATTTTATGAAATGCAGTTGTTGTAGTTTCTGTTTCTCTTTGATTATATATATAATCAAAGAAAAAACCTATGTTGACGTTGGGAAGCTGTGTCAAAGTTACAAGATTCAGTTGGCATATAACAGCCCAAATAAAAAACTTTGGTTTACAACCCGCATCACAAGCGTGGCAAATATGGCGAATATCGAATGGCACAGTCATTCGTAATCGTACACCCTTAAAAAAAGCAAAACGAGTATGGATTTATGAGTAACCAAACAATAAATTATTCCGTGACCCGAAACACCTTTGTGTGCGAACATTGTTAGTATATTTTTGAAGTAATGCTTACTAATATTTATTAAATTGAAATCGGAACTAAGATATTTTTTCATTCTTTCTTTTAAGTACTGTTTTAATAAATTACTATTAATTAAACATGTTATATTTACTTGTAATGTTTTAGGTTAATTGCCTAGTTTTATCTTAGAAATAAAATAATGTATTGACTAGACTGATACTTAAAAGGTCGGGGAAAAGTTTCTTTGTATTTTTATACAAAAACAACATTTTTTTTTCAATATTTAATTATATTTTATAATATTATACATATGACATTTTGTTCGACAACTTGTTGCCATAGTGACATAATCCCTTTGCTGTAGAATTTTTTTAAACGTGTCAAAACTGTTTTGTGGTCAATCCTCAATTCCTCTGCTATATCGTAATTACTAATGTGCTGATCTTGCTCCATCTTTTAAAAAATGGCATCGACTTTATCCATATGAGGGCGATCAGATCGACCTGTATCTTTGAAATCAAAACTCCCGAACTAAAAACATTTGGACTAACTTTATGTTACTTTTTTGGACACTGCGTTAGGTCCATAAACGACACGAATTATTTTGCAGTTTGAGTTGCATTTTCCTTTATTTGCACTCATTTTGGCGGACAGAAAAACAATTTAAATGAGCGGGAAAGTGTTTTTACTTTTTCTTTTTCTTAATCTTATAATATATATTCATATTAAAACCAATCAGTTACAAACAGTACAACCAAAGTGATTTTTGATCAATTTTATACATTGAATAAAACTATTATTTACGGATTTTATCGCGTTTAATTACTTTAATTTATTTTTATTATTATCCCGACGTTTCGGGTGCTTTACAGCGCCCATGGTCACGGGGGGGACTGAGATGTTTGACGTCCCAATGTCATAGTTAGTCCGGCTACCTTCAGTTTTTTAATATTAATTTTTGGTCCGATTTACGCAAAACGAGCTTATAGTATCATGAGGTCTTGCAGTGGTATGCTTGGGTTTGGGTTTAATTTTGCAAATTATAGGATCCCAAGCAGATGGTAGCACCCAACCATCTTCTCTATTGAAATTTGGATGTTTTTTAATTTCAATAGCCTCGCGTATCATCCTTGGTAGGAATCGGTGTTCTTTTGCGAGAATTTGTGGTTTATCAAATCTAATGTAATGGTGGGGACGATCTTGAACATGTTCGCAGACTGCAGACTTCCCGGAGCGTCGGTGCTTCACATCAGCTATATGTTCCTTCACGCGGGTTTTTATAGATCTCTTTGTTTGACCGTTAATAAGCTCGTTTTGCGTAAATCGGACCAAAAATTAATATTAAAAAACTGAAGGTAGCCGGACTAACTATGACATTGGGACGTCAAACATCTCAGTCCCCCCCGTGACCATGGGCGCTGTAAAGCACCCGAAACGTCGGGATAATAATAAAAATAAATTAAAGTAATTAAACGCGATAAAATCCGTAAATAATAGTTTTATTCAATGTGTAGTGTTCGCGTAAATTTAAGAAATCATAATTTTATACAAATAAAATACGAATTAAATTTTTACCCGACCTGTTATTATAAATAGAATTATTATCTTTAAATCAACAAAGAATTATCTACGTAATTTAAATTGAGTATCGGTGAATTTAATCCGCAGTAAAAAGATATAATGACTTCATAAGGAATTTACTTGTAAGAAAGCAGAACACTAAAGTTTTGTGTTAACCTTTTCATGTGTTTATATCCACATGATTGTTAAAACTCAATGAATTGTTATTTATTTGTAAAAACTCAATAGCTCCTTCGTGCAATTAAGTCGTTTCAGTGCAAATCAACGATCGTTTATAAATGGCTGACACTGTTTTTAGGCGGACAGGTTTAACATTTTGCTGACTCACTTATTTAAGTGATATTCGAAGCTGCTAGATTTTCAGGGCCCATTTCCCTAAGTTCACTCTCTCCCGGTACCTATGGAATGAGATATTTTGATAGATTCACCAATCATTAGTTTTTTTAGTTTTATGTGATGCACATAATGTATAGCGCCTTTTACTTTGAGATTAATAAACTAACAAAATTAAAATAAGAACAACTAAATTTTTCTCTAATTCATACCCAGTCAATCTTTTAAAGCCTTTAATGGACATAGTAATTTCAAGAACGTGCCATTTTTTTTTTCAAGAATAACTCATACTTAACCGTGTTAGGCAGCCGAGTTGGTACGAGGAGGTTAGAGACGAAAAATCAAAAAAAAAATCCAATTTAATATTATAAACATATTTTGATAATAAAATTGAGGATTATAATCTAATTTTGGATAGCAATTAAATCGATTTCACGTATAAAAGTTTATATAAACAGTGTCGTTCAGCCGTATTGTTGTTTGCTGAAAATAACTTTCGGGTATGACGCGGGAAAATACGGTCCATTTGAGAATATAATTAACATAATTGGATTATTTTCAAAAAAATAAGGTTATTTAAATAAATGAGCTTCACTGTATACATTTTCTTTTACTTATTTTATGCCAGTGTTTGACTAGTATCCTACCTGACGGTAAGAGTTGATGTAGCCGAAAATAGTGCAGTTAAAGTTAAGTAAAAGTTTATTCACTCTTGCCTTGAAGACACTAACTAATTTAGTAGGTACTTGACAGTTCATGTCTGAATGTTTTGAGATCGCTATCGATCCTGAGACTTTGCTACAGTCTGTGGTCTGGACGAGGTACGTGTAGGTAGGTATATACATATTTTAATATGTGCTTCCAACTCAAACTTCCGATAGCGTTCGAAAATGTTCGCAAAGATGTAATATCTATCAGAAAATTAGCAATTAATGTTTGCGCGATTTTAGATTTCGCAATACTTTATTTATAATGGCCATGGCCACTTGGGGACATTGTCATTGTTCTTTATTAGTGTAATAAACTCCAATCCGGTTGTAGTTTCTAAAAACTCTACCTAATACTGTATTGAATTTCAAAATTAACCTTATTTATGCTTTTGCGCAGCGGAGACGTCGACGGGCGAGTTGGTCGTCACAAAGCCCCCTCTGAAATCACCGAGCGTTCCCGCTACGGTCAGCCTGGTGCCGAAACGTGAGTAATTATTGCTCTATTGTTTTTTATATAAGCATTTAAAGTTGTAAGGCTGTTTGTTCACAACAGCGAACGAACGATAACCTAAAACACAAGGAATGAATTGGATCGTATTGAATTTCGGTTAAATTTTATACTTACGGGAACGACGCACCGTTTTACATATCATGTATTAAGTATGTATTTCTCACCGGTGTCAGTGTGTCGAACATAAGATTGCCTAAACAGAAGATAAAAAGAGAGATTTCTACGAAATTGCTATAAATAATTTCCTTATAAAACCTTATTCAAAACTAAACTTTTAATAGTCATTTTCTTCTTGGCCTAAATAATATATGCAAAACAGCAAAATAATAAATACAAAACAGCCTATAATAAATGCTATAAGAGACGAGAATGGATGTATTCTGAATGATGAAGTTTCGATTTTAAACAGATGGAAGGAATACTTTGAAAGCGTGTTTATGAGTGAAGAGTCGTATGAATTAAATGAACTAGAAATGCCGAAAGAAGTGGAAAGGGGTATGGAGATAAGTGTAGATGAAATAATGAAAGCAATGAAAAGCATGAAGGCAGGTAAGGCAGCTGGATATGATAGAGTATCACTCGAGATGCTAAGGGCTGGAGAGGGAGTGGTGGCAGGCCTGCTGTACACCTTGTTTAATTTATGTTGGGAATTAAAACGGGTACCGGATGACTGGTGTAAAGCAGTTATAGTACCAATATATAAAGGAAAAGGGTCACAGCAGGACTGCAAAAACTACCGCGGTATCAGCTTGCTTAGTATTGTGGGTAAACTGTATGCTAAGGTGTTAATTGAAAGAGTTATGAAAGAAACTGATGGAAAAATTTGGGATGTGCAAGCGGGTTTTAGAAAGGGAATGGGGTGTACAGATCAAGTCTTTTCCATGCGCATGATTGCGGAGAAGTTTTTGGCCAAAAACCAGAAAGTTTTTTGTGCGTTCATGGACTTGGAAAAGGCTTATGACAGAGTGGACAGGAATGTGTTATGGCAAACACTGAACTCATATGGGTTGAGCGCTGGTTTGATACAGGCATTAAGGTATCTTTATAGGGACTCTAGTGCTTGTGTCAGGATCAATGGGGTCTACTCGGACTGGTTTGGCATCCAAAAAGGTGTCAGACAGGGCTGTGTGGCTTCCCCTTGGCTGTTCAACCTATTTATGGACCGGTGTTTGCAAACTTTGAAAGATGAAGAATGTGGGTTAAGAATGGGCGAGTTAACCGTCAAATGCCTTTTGTATGCCGATGATCAAGTCATACTTGCGTCATCGGCGGCAGAGTTGCAAATGATGGTTACATTAATGAACTGGGAATTAAAAGAAAGGGGAATGAAAGTGAACGCAAGTAAGACGAAGATGGTTTTTGAAAGAGAAGAAAGCAAAACGGTATGTGAAATAAGAATAGAAGGAGAGTTGATTGAGCAAGTGGATGAGTTTGTGTATTTGGGATGTGTATTTAGCAGGGATGGTAGATATGATAGGGATATAGAACGACGAGTAAATGCAGGGAATAGAGTGAATGGGGCACTACACTCTATTATGAAGAACCAGAATTTATCAAAACAGGCACGTATGGTAATTCATAATGCTGTGTTAGTCCCTACTTTAATGTATGGTAGTGAAAGCTGGGTGTGGCAGAAGAAGCACGAAAGTAAAATAAATGCTGTAGAAATGCGGTCTTTAAGGAATATGCTAGGGTGTAATCTGAATGACAGGGTGAGAAATTGCGTGATAAGAGATAAATGTGGTATGCAAGATGATGTTGTGACCAAGATTAAGAAAGGAATGCTTCGGTGGTTTGGTCACGTAGAAAGAATGAATGAAGAAAGAGTGACAAAGCAAATTTATATGGCAGATGTGAATGGCCGAGTCGGGAAGGGACGCCCTAGGAAAAAGTTTATCGACCAAATTGGCGATATTTTGAAAATGGGCCACGTTAGAAGTACCCTTAACCGACGAGCATGTATGCGTAGATATATGGATGTAAAGGAGGCGAAAGAGGTATGTCAGGATCGTGCCAAATGGAAGTCCGTAGTCTCTGCCTACCCCTCTGGGTGACAGGCGTGAGTGTTTATGTATTTATGTATGTATTTCTTCTTGGCTTACTTAATTTTTAAACCTCTATCATTGTCAATACATCTTATCACAAGTCCACTGCTGAATATAGAACTTTATCGTGATGGCATCGTAAGGGGATATTTGCCAAAATTGCAACGCCTATCAAGCGGGTTTTCAAACGCAGTTATTTATCAGTAAGACGCTGCTGCTCAACTCCTGATTCGGTTTCCTTACGTCGCCTCTTACTGCACCCCGGGATGCTATGGGGTATTAAATATTCTTACACCGCCACATCGGCCTCTTAATCATTATTGCTAAACGTGGGCGTCATGTCTATAACAATAAATTTAAAACTATTCATGACGGCTTTGAGAAGCAGTCTAAGTTATAGGTATTGGTTCAAAGATTTCCAATCCTGTCTACTTAACAAGTATGGAAATTGCGGTAGCTATGGGAAGTACTTGTGTCTAGTAGTGAACGATATAACAATATTTTCTGTGTACTCGAGTAAATTTATCCTAATTCTTTAATAACTAATTTTCTGTTACAACTGTACGGTCGTGTAACTGCTTTACCCTACATATTTGCCGTGCTCAATGCGTTTTTTCCTTAAAAAATCTACTCAAAACTTATTACTTGGAACTCTTAATAATTGGTTTTTTAATTTAATATTAGTAAAGTTACTATTGTTTTCCTATGTTCAGGTCTGTAGCTTTTTTTGTATTCCTAAAGTTTCTTTTAGGTATCAAATATTGAAAAAATAATCTTTAGGATATTAATAATGTGAATTACGAATTTGTTTGGTCCCTTTTATTCGCAACACTTACAGTGGTGGATTGTTATCCTTATCCTTTTTTCGAACTCTTGTTTTTGTGTTACATGAACCTTACTGAACTTACAGTCTGGACTATATACATTATACAGTATTGCATCTGTTAACTCCGAATGGTGTCAAAGTATAATTGAATTTAACACTCAAATTGACCTAGCCCCTTTTAATAGGGCCGTCTTATCAAGCGTAAAGCGCTACTCGACTACTTTTGAAATTGGACAGTAAATTTGCCAGATCATTTATTTTATTGCGCTAGCAGGAATCTTAGTTTGTTATAAAATATTTACTCACCGAAATATGTACAAATATAATTGTTTAATAATATCATGGTCAACAGCCCATGTTATTATTATGAGCATAGTTACAAAATGCAAACAGTTTTTATAAGAGTTGCTCTTTACCACACTAGGTCGCCCTCAGGATTTAATTTGAAATATTTTTTATATATTTTCCCAAATATTCGCTTAATTTGAACGGGGACCGTCTCTAGTAGACATGTGTCAATCGTGAATGATTTGGTCTTAAATGACCCACGTACTGGATCAAACAATTGACAGGATCCACGACCAAAGAGTAATGTCCGATGAGCGACATCATCGAGTGGGTCTTACAGAGTACTGAAACCATTGATTTATATATTACACTTTTGTATAACTCATTGACTGAAACTCAAAATGATTAATTTGAATGATCGACCCGAATGACCCGGGTCGTAAGAAGAATTAATATTTGAATGATCGGGTCCCTAGAAATGAATGAATGACACCTGTCTAGTCGCTACTAGATGGATACTTTACAGTGGGACAGTGTTCAACATCTATTTGTTATCTCGGTTTCTTCTTATTTTGCCTGTTTGATACAAATTCTGTAATCGATTTTTAATGAACTCTACGATAAGTTAGAGAATTGAAACTTTAAATATACCTAGCTAAAAGGTTGACAATGCACTTTTTTGACTGTCTTTTTTTGTTTTTCTCTATTTGGTACAAATTTTGCAATAGATTTTAAATAATTTTCCCAAAAAGCTATACTTAGACTTGAAATGTTGAACATAGCTCAGAACTGGAAACTGTAAAAAATGGTCACCATTTTAAACTACATAAATAGAGAGAAAACTGAGAAGCAAAAAAAAGTCAGAACCATCACATAACATACACATATAATACACATAACATATTACGAATACATATTTTGTTAACTTCGACTTGACATACTCGTAGATTAATTCAGAATTAGGTATATTTCGTTGTATATTATCGCTTATATACCTATGTAGTTTGAATTTGTTTTCCAGTTGCTTCAAATCTCGACTACCCACTTATCAGCCCGTAGGCAGTCCTTTGTTAGACATGGGCCTCTCTAAAGTATCTATTTGACTACTTGGCAATTGACTACTTGGCAATTGACTACTTGACAATTGACTACTTGGCAATTGCCTACTTGGCAATTGACTACTTGGCAATTGGAATACTAGACTTGTCGGACCTGTTACTCTACTGCCGCCGCCAGTCTTGATGTTTTACATCTTGTTTTTTTTTTACAGAATAAGAGTAAACGAGCACACAATCTCCTGATGGTAAATGGATGCTGTGGCCCATAAACATCTACATCTCTCCGAGATTAAGAATTCAAATATAAGTGCGCCTCTTAAGGAATGGTAGCTCAAAGACACACGACACTTTCTTTCCTTTCCTTTGAACAAAGAATGCATTTTTGTAAGATGGTACGTTATAATCAGTATTATAATACCATACTTCGTTTGTTAGGTATGAATTCCGTACGGTACAAATATATATATATATATATATATATATATATATATATATATCGCCTACAAACAAATCGATCGCGTAGTTGCGGTGTATGAATATCCACTACCCCATATCGCTTCGTGGGTGTCGTAAGAGGCAAAGAGCGACTTTCTAATAGCGACTAAAAAAAGCTGTGGTAGCAAAGCCGCTTCCAAGCGTGGCAATTATGGCAAATATCCACCCTATGAGGCCATCTATGGGGGAGGCCTATGTCCAGCTAGGCTGTAACGGGACGGAACGAAACAAATAAAACAAAAGTCCAAAACAGTGTAAAACGACTCCAA